TGACAGAACCGATGACAGAACCGATGACAGAACCGATGACAGAACCGATGACAGGACCTTTAACTTCATTTTTAATCGCTCTGGTTTTTCCCTGAACTTTAATTAAAAATGAAAGCGTTCTGTGGAAACACGTGGTTCCAGGAGCTGAGTTGTCTACAGTCTACAGACGACCCACAGTCTACAGACGACCCACAGTCTACAGACGACCCACAGTCTACACACGACCCACAGTCTACAGACGACCCACAGTCTACAGACGACCCACAGTCTACAGACGACCCACAGTCTACAGTGGAACACAAGTCTGTGAAATGAAAATTAACTTCAGCCTTGAAGTGACCAGGATCAAACCTCAAACGCTGCCTCACATCATGTGGAATAAAGTGAAGCAGCGTTAAATATAGGAGTGTGTGTGTGTGTGTGTGTGTGTGTGTGTGTGTGTGTGTGAGTGTGTGTGTGTGTGTGTCCTTGATTTGCTCATTAAACTGAGTTCAGTTTAAATGAAAGCGGGGAATGTTCCCAGTGGAAGTGGGTCAACATGTTCCTCCGTCCAATCACGTGGCTGTGACATCAGGTAGTTCTCAGCCGTGAACATCCGCTGACCTTTGACCCAGTGAGCTTAATAAAAAGTGAGAAAGCACTTAATCCACTGAGGCTAATGAAGAGACACACACAAGGCCTCAGGCCCCGGGGGGGGGGGGGGGGGGGGGCTGACTGTACAGACACTGAGCTCCATTATCTGACTCTGTGTTGACAACACTCATTCATGTTCAACAGATCCAGGACCAGGACCAGGACCAGGACCAGGACCAGGACCAGGACCAGTTCTACATTCACTTCAAACATGAAGGCAGTCCAAACCAAACCAATTCATTCAGCTTCACTACTCAGTACTGCAGTACTTACTGTAGTACTGCAGTACAGTAAGTACTGAGTCCTGTCATGTGTACCAGGTACAGTAAATACTACAGGTGTACTCTAGTGTAGCAGGGAGTATCTTTGTGATGACAGTATCACCTGGTTGTCAATGTTACCATAGTAACAGAGTAACCATTCTGTCAGGAGGGGGCGCTGCTCTTTTAACCCTTCAACAGCTGACGTCCCTCGTGGACAGTGGTGGACAAAGGAAGTGCACGATGTGATCAGGTGCTCCACAGAACCACGTCTGGACCACGAGCCACGTCTGGACCACGAGCCACGTCTGGACCACGACCTTCACTACAGGCCGCCTCGTTCACCGCGGCCTCCGTCTGTCCTCCGTCTGTCCTCCGTCTGTCCTCCGTCTGTCCTCCTTCATCGTCCTTCTGTGGACACGTCTGTGACTCCATCACTGTCTGTCCACAGCAGGACATTCTTTCAAACTGTGTGTGTGTGTGTGTGTGTGTGTGTGGGGGGGGGGGGGGGGGGGGGGTAGACCTTCATCCTGAACACAGAGTCCCTTCCTTTAATGTAATCCTTGACCACTTCCTGTTGTGGCCACCTCTGACGCAGCCCTAGTTCCTCTGAGCACATGCTGTGAGTGTGTGTGTGTGTGTGTGTGTGTGTGTGTGTGTGTGTGTGTGTGTGTGTGTGATCTCTGCATTCCTTGAATTAACGTGTGTGTGTGGCTGACAGTGGCCCCTAGGGGGCAGAAAGAACAGAACCTGCCACACACCTCACTCTCACATGAAGTCAACGGCTCCCCCTGGGGGCGGGGTCACCTCGAGTACAGCTAGCGCCACCTAGCTAAGTAGGTTAGCACGTTAGTTAGCCAGTCAAAGTCTTATATCACACATGATTCTGGAACAGCAGTAACGAGGAGAATTGCGACATCGTGTGAACGTGTGCGTGACACGACGCGGACAAAAAAAACCCAGACGTGGATCTGAACACTGTGTCCACGACGAGTTCCTCTTTTTAAAACTTTTCGTGAGTTTTCATCACCATCACCACTGAAAAGCTGGAATCAAACCAGCAACAACAAAAGCTGCTCCGTCACATGCCCCCCCCAACAACAAAAGCTGCCCCGTCACACGCCCCCCCCACTCCCCCCCCACCCCCACAGGTAATAAGATGAACTAACTTTTCTGGAGACGTGGCCGTCCATCAAACACCGACCACCTGCTGCGACAGACATTAGCCGCTCATGCTAACTTGTCGTGACTGGATCTCAATGAGGGAGTTTCCCATCAGAGGAGGACATCAGATGATTGTTGATAGACACCTCCTTGGCTGCGGTCACTAGGACTGTGTGTTGGCAAGAACCTGGTGATCTGATAGGATACAGACCACAGGGAGTCTGCTGCCCCCCCCCCTCCCCCTCAGTGTGATCCTGGTCTCTCAGACTCTGAACATCAGTCACTGACACTGGAACAGAGGGATCGACATCTGTTTTCCTACAGCCCTACTGGTGAGTACAGGTACTGATCCCAGGACCTTCAGGCCACAGTTCCATCTCATCTTCATCATCTTCATCATCTTCATCATCTTCACTGCTGCATGTCTCAGCCTGTTAGTATGCTGCTCACTGATGCCAGTTTATATAGGACTCTGCCCCCCCCCCCCCTGTCAAAAAAGAGTACTTGA